GGGGGGGGGGTGTAAAGTACAGCATAGGGAATATAGTCAGTAATGTTCTAATAACTATGTATGGTGTCAGATGGGTGCAAGATTTATAGAGATGATTACTTAGTAAGTTATATGTCGTCTAATCATTACGTGTACATATGAAACTAATATAATATTGAATGTCAACTGTAACTGAAAAATGATTTTTTTAAAATATAACTTTATTGATTTTAGAGAGAGGAAAGGAGAGGGAGAGAGAGCTAGAAACATCAATGATGAGAGAGTCATTGATCGGCTGCCTCCTGCACGCCCCCGACTGAGGATCGAGCCCACAACCCAGGCATGTGCCCTGACCAGGAATTGAACCCTGATCGCCTGGATCCTAGGTCGAGGCTCAACTGCTGAGCCACACCCGGCCGGGCAATAAATGATTTTTTAAAAAGGAAAGAAATCTGACACAGGCAACGACATGAATCAACCTTGAGGACATTATACTGTATGAAATAAGCCATACACAAAAGGACAAATATTGTGTGATTCCACTTATATAAGGAACCTCGAGTAGAATGCTGAGGAAAGAAGGAATGGGAGTTAGTGTTTAGTGTGGAGTTTCGGGTCTTTGATGAAAGAGTTCTAAAGATGAATGGTGGTGATGGCTGCACACTGTGAATGTACTAAATACCATTGAACTGTAAATCTAGAAATGGTCAAGATGGTAATTTTATGTGTATTTTATTGCAATAAAAAATTGGGAGAAAAACAAATAATGGTACTGTGTTGGTAAACTAATAATTTTAAAAGTAAGCAGCCCAGGCTGGCGTGGCTCAGTTGGTTGAGCGTTGTCCCACGCACCGAGCGGTCGAGGTTCAGTTCCGGTCAGGGCACGTGCCCAGGGCCGTGCAGGAGGTAGCCAATGGATGTAACCCTTTCACATAGATGTTTCTCTCTCCCTTCCTCTCTCTCTAAAATCAACAATAAAAAACATATTTTTTTTAAATGTAAGCAACTAAATGGGATGTGATATCCTGAATTGCCTCCTAGAGCAGGTTTATTAACGAAAAAATGAGCCAATAGCCTGTAGCGTACTTAACACTAATGTACCAACGTTAATTTCTTAGTTTTGACATATATACCACAACTACATAGGATGTTAACATTAGGGAATCTAGGTAAAGGGTGTACAGGAACTGTCTGTGCTGTCTTTGCAAGATTTCTCTAAACCTAGTATTATTCCAAAAGAAAAGTTTATTATTTTTTTATTAAATTTATTGGGATGACATTGGTTAATAATGGTCATACAGGTTTTAGATGTGGGTTTCTACATTACGGGATCTATATATCGCACTGTGTGACCACCACCCAAAGCCAAATCTTCTCCCTAAAAGTCTGTTTTAAAATGAGTTTTTAAAAAGCAAGCAACTGAAAGTTAGAATTCCTACATAGAAGACAAAGACAACACAAATATATTAGAATTGACCGAGCAAACGGCAAAATATGAATGCCTGTACAGATAGCTGCAGATGTGGAATTTTATTTTTATTGTACTGTTCACTGTTGCCTGGCTATTATCTCATAATTCACTAATTGCAAAAAGGCAGGCTGCTGAGTTTTCTATGCAGTACTAGTTCCTTCACAATCTGGGTGTGTGTTTTTCACTTAGATCACAAACAAATGTTCCTTATTATGGATACAGAGTAAACTTCTTTCTGCCAATTCATGATTTTGTCTTGGATAAGTTGGTTGTCCGTTTGTGAGCATCCTCTCTGGCGTTAGCAATGATCCTGGGCAAGTACAGCTCAGGCCGGGCAGCCTTGACTCACGGCGCTGTCCTCCAGCGGGACCGTGGGTGCACCGAACGTAAGTTTGTTCGGGAGCATGTAGGCACCTGCACAGCCATAGTGGGTCGCTTTAGCCACTTGAAGCCCACGTTCAATGTACCGTAGTTGTTAGAGGAAAAAAGACCATGAAACTTCATCAGTCACCAAGGGGTGGGAAGCAGTTGGTGCAAACATCTTGCTTCATTCTGAATCTGTTTGAATACTGTGCTCAGGACGAAGTGAGAACAAAGCTCTACTCAGACGACATGAAACAACGACGTTTTCTTTCCCAGCCCAGCTTCTTTTCTGTTAGGCCAATTGTGTAGAAACTGGTATGACTTACAAAAGCCTAGAAGATACACTGTAGCTTTTAACTACCCTGCACCAGGGAGACATGACTACGGGCATTGTCTCTTCTCTCCCTCCCTTCTCTGGAATCAGGGGTCTGAGCACCAGGAGTGGGGGGTGAACAGCTGCAGGTGCGAGGGGCTAGGACGCCCGGGAGCAGCTTGCATTCCTCTCCCCACGACCTAAGGTCACCTAGTTAGCCTGCTCTGACCACAAACAGAGCTCTTAATTTCTCTAGCACAACCTGAACTTGATACGAAGCACTTACACGAGGACTGTGCAGACAAGAGGCAGCTTTATTGTACTTTGGGGGGAAACGGCTCCATTTAGGGAAGCAAAAAGCCAGCCGAGTGAGCGACACCGCCCTCTGGTGGAGCGGTGGCGCACCGCAGGCTCCGGAGGCCAGCCCTGAACGGGAGCGGACCTGCTGGTGTCGACCTTCACCACAGAACATCACTTCTGATAAGCTGGTCTTCAGACAACCTGATTTTAAGAACCAGGTTTTATCTTTGAAATGCATAAATGTATGTGCTTTCCCTGCTTTTCTGAGTAAAGAATGAGGGTTCTTTTGAACAGACCATCAAATTAAGTCTCGATTTCAAAGTTATGAAACACTTCGGGGCAACCTGCCTCCTTGAGCACCGTTGCCCTTGTCCGGGGCCTGGGCAGCAGCCCCTGGTGTGACGGACAGAAAGGTCATGAAGCAGCAGAACCCAACTGCACAGGCACCACGCTGTTCACTCCCTTCCTCCTCCCAGTTGGACAATCTAGGGTGCTGAGTGTTTGCATTTCACTTATGTGAATTCCTGGAAAACAGCACTGAACGCACCAACTTCACATAAGTCACATAACCCAACTCTCATTATGACTTTGTGGTAACAGTGGAAGTCCCAGTGTGGGGTGGGAGCGCCATTCTTAAGGAGTGATGAAGGGATTCTTCTCAAGGCTCTAAGCCTCCTTTACACCCAGGTGCTGCAGTAAATGTGCTGATGTGATGCCTCCTATGAGCACATAAATGGGAATATTTCATGAAACACCTGGCCGAAAAAGAAATAAAGTGGTAAGGATAACATATTTGTAACGGCAACCTCAAGTGGGCGCCTCTGCGACTACGGAGATTTCAGATCCCGGGCTAAGTGCTCTGCTCTGGGAAACCCAGTGGCACTGGTCAGCTAACGAGCTCCTGCGCTGCAACATTTCTGGGCATACGGCTGGAGGCACTCACGGGTTCTGGGGTGCACAGGTCTGACACAGTCTTCATCAACCCATATTCTTGGCAAATAATAAATTCAGTTAAGGATTTCAGGAAGAACCAAGTCCTGGGAAAGAGGTATACAGGTGTGGAGTAAGAAGCTGAATTAAAACATCTCTAGGTTGCATTTTTTGGTAGACACAATTGAACGTTTCAGCTCTGAGAACCTGAGTGTCCGGAGAATCAGAGTTCTGAGTGCGGGGCGTCAGCTACCAGGCTGAGCTGCGCCATCACCCCCAGCAGCGGGAGGGGGCGGGCCGGCCCTGAGCACTGCACCCGAGAGGTCGCTCTGCTGAGGGTTGGGCCCGGCGGCCCCAGGGTTCAGTCCGCGTCCCGGCCCTTCCCGGCCCTCAGGTCGAAGGCTGCCTTCTCCAGGCCACATCAACTGCACCTTTCACGTAACGCCACCACCTGGGCGTCCCTGAGGAAGCGGGAAAAGGTGCTGGGGAGCCGTACATGAACTCAAACCTGATAACAAAGTCATCTCCAAAAAAGTTTATTAGCATGATTAAAAACAGTGTCTTGAGTAAGGACAGAAAGAAGGTCTAGACATGAAAGAGGGCGGCTACACCTTATCACCAGCATGGGCAACTGAGCGGAGGCCTTTACTGCCAGTCTTCATTTTATTAAAAACCATCCGCATTTATCGGTGCCATGGGAAGTCATGGCTATTGCTTGGACTGGGAAGGAGTCCCCACTGCAATTAAGTATAAAAAATATCTTCCATAATTGGAGTGAGACCTGCATTGAGTAAGAGCTGATAAAATCCTCAAAGAGTTGGGTTCTTGGCTTTTAAAAAAACATTCCTTTTACACACTACGAAGAAATAATTAGTATTTTGGCTTTTTAAATTCCTACATGATATTTAGCACGACAGTCCCGAGCTCCTCCCTCGCGTGATGGAGACCACAGATGCTGCTCGGAGGGACACTGGCGCAGGCTCTGCAGACTGCGGCCCACGGGCTACACGGGTTTGAGGACGAAGACAGCGTCGTCCAGGACATAGTAGTCATTGTACATGTCCCCTTCACACAGGTACGGCAGTCTGGTGAACGCTTCGATAACAAAACCCGCTTTCCTGAAAACTTCAGGCAGACTGTTCACCTGTTCTTCCCAGTTCTGTCCCTTGATTTCCAAAACTTCCGATGGTTTCTCCCACTTGCCACCTACTAAAACAAATGCAAACATTAAGTTAAATTCTTGAACAAACATGTTGTTTAAAAAGGGAGGGAGGGAAGAGTGCATGCCAAGCACTGGGTGCTCTGACCACTCACTCCCGGCTTCCTGAGGGAGGCGCCAGAGACAAGGAGCGGACTCCGAGGGCTGAGGAAGGAGCCAAGCTCACAGGCTAATGCATCAGGGCAGACAGGTAACCAGAGCAGACAGGCAACGGCAGGTTTAGCTGGTCCCAAAGCTCACTCAATACTGGAATATTGGAGCAGGGAGCAAAGCATGGTATTTGAAAGGGGGGCTGGGATAACACAAGAAAAAACCACTGATGTAGTAAACTCACACAACATGTTAATTAGAGAGGTTTATGAAAATAAAACTAGGTTAATACAGGATTTTAATTTATAAAAGTAGATAATCAGTGTGCTTTTCAAGGGAAGTTGAGCCACTCCCTAACTTTTCAGAACTTCATAAAAGTAAAGCTCCAGGATCACAGGGCAGAACTAGAACGGAGGAGTCGCCTGCACTCCCTGCAACAGTGACTGAAGCCTGTCAGTCACCCCCACAGGTAGGCGTGTGTGCGTGTGAGAGAGAGACAAGGTCTTCAAGTTCACACACACCAAGCACTGACTATAGAGAGAGACACACACAGAATGTAAATTTGGGGTATTTTAGATACTACAGTGATGTAAAATAAATACAGATATATTAAAAGTGTTACTAAATTCAGATTGGGAATAACTTCCTCTAAATGAGAAAGTGTCAAGTTGTCACTCTTCAGTGGCCCAGCCCTGAGCCGTGCGAGGTCCTGGCAGCAGGCAAAGCCTGGGGAGCAGCTTGGCGCCAGCACGTGGCCCAAGCTCCGGCACTCGCTGAGCCCTGGCATGAAGAGCTGGCGACCCAGGAGCGGGGACCCGGCTCTGTCTCGGAGGGCAGAGCAGTGGAGCGAGCAGAGGCTGGGCGGCACTGGGCGGCACTGGTGAGAGCTGGGTCCACGCTACGGTGGTGTGGGCCTCCGATCAGTCTGATGGAGTGCTTTGGGCATTTTTCTTGGCTGCAGCCCCTACATGACTCTCCAGTCCTCCCAGTGGCTCTGTGACCCCCATCCTTTCCATAAGACCCCTTTGGATTAGCTCAGACAAGCCCATTCCTGCTGCCTCCAGAGAGCCTCTGAGGGGGAGCGGGGCTGGGGGGACGGGCTCCCGGAGGCTCCGCACACCTGCTTCAGGGCGCGCTGAGAAGGGGTCGCCAAAGGGCACCGCTACTCAAGGGCACGCAGCTGATGCTCCCATCAGGCCGTGGGCGTCCACGGTTCACTAACCCAGCTCCTGAAGGCGGCTCCTGCTTCGGCCTCCGGGCTGCTCAGGGGCTTAGAGGGGGGCTGTCAGGCAGCACTGGGCCCGGGATACGCACAACGCCCAGTCTCCCCCGAGCCCCAACGCGGGAGCATTGAGAAATGGGCTCCAGGCTAAAATCTCAACTTCACACGGCAAAACCGCATTAGACAATATGTACACAACTTCAAAAAGTTCCTGATTATGGTTCCTTAATAAGAGTTCCTCTCTTCACTTCTTCCTTTCTAAAAAGAGGAAAAAAAAAAAAAAAAAAGGCAACTCTCTTCAAATACTCGCTCCACAGCCACTCAGGCAGAGATGGAGGCTGTGGCCGTGCCCGGGGCCATCCTCGGCCTGATCCTGTGCTGCGTCGGTAAGCTGCTGCTTTCTCCTCTCCTTTTCTGAAATCAATCGCTGGTGTTTGCCTAACGCATTTATATTTTAAGCCTCTACGAATTAACTTTTAAATGTGTGTATGGAAACTGTCTAATGTGGAAAGTCTCCTTTTCCCAGGGAAATGGGTGGCGAAGGGGCGGCTGAGTTTCGCACTAACAGGAAGAGTCCCCTCTGCTGCTGGGCTGCTTCATGGAGACGGCACCTCACCAAGGGCTGAAACGCTCTAAAGCCCCGCATGCTTGTCAGATGAGTTCCCAAACTCACTCTGCTCCTACTCGAATATTTTCAAAGAACAATGTTTCTGAAAAGCTGAATTTCCGTAAATTAGGGAGTAATTGTCCAGGCGGCCATGGCTCCTTCCCAGAGATTAACTGCCCATAATACATCTATTCTAAATTCTGCCTACATCTGCTTTTCACCCAGGAAAGAGAAAGTGCTTCCCACCCCACAGTTCTAATAATCTCATCATAGTTCTGACAAATCTAATGATCTCAGTTTTGCCCACAAAGTCTGGGTCACTGGGCGGAGAAGGCAGCAAAAGCTCTTAAAATTAACTTTTTCCATCTGTTAAAAAATGCATTAAAATGTTAACAGTGGTTATTCTGGGTGGAAGAACCGCGGCAGTGAAGCAGCCGGTGGGCAGGAGCCGGTGGGGCCGCAGCTGCCGATGCAGGAGCTCGTGGGGCCCTCCTGCTGCCGGGTCCCCATGTTTGAAATTGTCCACAAGAGGCTTTTCTTCGGTGTCAAAAATTAGCGTTTGACGTATTTTTTAGTTTAGTTTTTAAAAATAGTAAAGTAACCAACCTTTCCTTATTTCCTCCACCAAGGAAATAAACTTTCAACCTTTCAGGGGGCACCATGCTTTAAAAAAAACCCTAACAGAGCATGAGAGTCCTCACAGAAGAGCTTTCACAGGAGCAGGCTGTGCTGGGGCACATTACCCCAACTTCTCTTTTTGTGGGGATGTTGCTTAACCGGTGTGGGCGGGGGGGGG